AAAAAAATTCAATGCAATTACCAGGTAACCACCTTTTTTTTCTTCTGAGGTTTTTACTCCAGTGTGACTGAGCCACTAGCGTGCTAAGGAAAAACTAATGGGGTTGGATTAAATTACAAAGGACGTATGAAATCACATTTTTAAGAAAGCATTTCAAAGCTACACAGCAATAAACAAGTACTAGTTAGCTGTTGGACGTACATGCTGCACACTCTATGAGATTTGGGCCTACCGTTAGTTAGTGAAGCCTTCCTGACTGTTACAATGATACAGGGAGAACGTGCAACATCGACACGTAAAGTCACAGAAGAAGAAAGATTAGGGGGTTTCCCATCGATTAATGTACAACACGAGGTCTCCCCCTGCTGGTTGAAGAAAGACTCCAGCTTTCATGTTGGCTTCACTTTTCAGACCATTAGCTGGGGCCATCTTTTATATACAGATTATGCTGGTGTGATATTTCTACAGTTGGGACATGTAAACAAACCTTTACCAGTTCCAGTGTTGTTGGGCCACCGATGAGCAGACAATCTTATTCTTAAAGCCAGATAATATGCATTAATATATTTGAGCCCTCTGGAAAATGTTCCTCGACATGATTATGCATCTCTTTTAAAGAGGTCCTATTCAGAATATCAAACAAACACACGATCAGCAGCATTCGAAATGCTCAGAGTAATATTTTATGTCACAGGTGTGTTTATAAGCTCGCAGTACGCTGGCGTTAGCTTACAGGCAGAAACTACACAGAGAAATGTGGAAGCTGGCTCTCCAGGTACGTTTTGGGTACAAAAGTGATTGGAAAGCCAAACTCTCAAAAACAAAAAAAGGGGTTGGGTCAGTGCATTTCCTAAACTCATACCTTCTAACGTTAGAATAGTGTGATGAAACTGTGATAAAAGACTCCACCCACCCAGGATGAAGCTGGTGTGGGAAAACAAGCGCCAGCAGCCTCGTTCGAGTTTCCCTCTCATTGAATAATTGAGCCCCATCTGCCCAGTCTGAACAGTGACTATCATGAAATTAGTTTTTGGTATTTTTTGTATTCGTTCATAAAGTGAAGCCTGACATTTCAGCCAGTGACTGTGTGCTGTGCTCTTGGTCTTATTATAAACGCTTCCACACTTAAACCACAGCTGGAGCAGCTCTCACAAAGCCCAAGGGTCAAAGGTCATGTCCACTCCTTCACTCGACCCTGGGTCAGCACTGCTGTCTGTGGAGGCTTTGTGAACGCAGCCCCTGGACTATAAATACATAAGTGTAAGAGGCTCGCGGCAGTAATCTACAGTATATTCTCTCTTCTCTGTTTTCGGTATAGGTTTGGCTAATCCTCGGTATGAGCTGGTTGGACTGTAGTGTTTTTATAATGTGCTTTTTCTTTTTTCAAACGTGCTGCAGTGAGTTGTTCACTTTGATTTATTTTAGGCTTTTCTAACTGTCCAGGCCAGGATGAAGGTACCAGATAAAACAGGTATATCACAGAAGCCACGTAAAGGGTGATTTTTTGTTATTATTGTTACCAGATTGACCTTTAAACATTATCCTGCAAAGACAAATTCTAATATTTGTTTTAGTTTTCTTTTCAGTTGATTGATTTCTTTGTTGTTTTTAATGCTGCAACCTTTAATTGCAAAGCATTGTGGGAAGTGGAGTTCTACTCCTCCGTGTGATAGCATTGCAGCAGAGATCTTAACCCAACAGCGTTTCTGTCGGTTTTCAATTTGTCTATGTGAGGAAAACGTGCACTCTGAACAGTTTCTGATATTCAACGGTCCCACCTAACCAAAAACAGTACAAGTGTACATGTGGAAGATTACATTAAAAGGTTCGCTCTACAACATTTAGATTTGAAAAGTTAAAGGTGAAAATAGTTTTTTCAGGCTGTTAAGAAGGAAACTGATTCATGAATCAAAGTGCATAATCGTGGATTCATGGTTAGAATTAAGCTGTATGGTGCAAAAGTCTTGAGTCACCTCATTTTTTTTAATATTTGCTTCCAGGCAGCGTGGCTTTCTTGTAAATTTTGAGTAACAGTTCTCCAGACTTTGTGAAGGTCTTTCAGAATTTTCTTTGACATTGGCTGCTTTTTCACTCATTTTCAGTTCAGTCCTTGTACCTGAGCAGAGACTTAACACTGACCTATGACTCATTCAAGGATAACTTTACAGATAACTCACTTTAAATTGTATCTTTAGGTACTTTGTAAGTAGCAGCCTGTTGCAAAGTTTTAATGGTTTTAATTTTTCTTGCTGAATCTAAGAAAAATTGACAGATAAATAGTATTTTTGTCTAAAAGTCAGAAATAGGAAAAAATCCAACAAAGACCTGACACAGACCTGAGAGTTGCATCTGAACCTTCAGATGATCCGTCTACTGTTCACTGAAGCCTCATTAGAAATGGTCTCAGTGGAAGGGTGGCTGTCAGGAAGGCTGAGGTATGCCAGGTTACACAAGAACTGGACTGAAAATCAGTGACATCTGATGGAGTGATGTAATAAGGTCAGAGTCTGCAGACATCTGTAAAACACGGTGGAGGCTGTGTTACGCTTTGGAGCTGCATCTCAGCCAGTGGTTTTGGAGATCGTGTCCAAATGAATGTGAATTGTGAACACAGAAAAGTACCATTGGTAAATCATTCAATTGGCAGCAACTTAATTTTTAACATGACAATGACCCCAAACACACTGCCAATGCAGTAAAATCATAACTGGATAGAAAAACACACTCAATGAAACGCTATCAGTCATGATAGGCCTTCTCAGAGCTCAGATCTCAATATTGTTGAATTTGTGTGGGATCATCTAAAGACAGCCAACATCCAAAGAAGAGCTTTGAATGTCCCTAAAGAAGCCTGGAGAACGACTCCTACTTAAAGAAATTACAAGAAATATTGTCTAAGAGTTCAGGCTGTGCTGAAGAATAAAGGTTGTCACACCAAATATTGACTTTTAAGTCTGTTAGAATTATACAAACTCAGTTTTTTCCTTATATGCTGTATTTACATGTATGTTTGCATGAAACTAAGGTACTGCACGTACTTCCAAAATGCAAAAAGAGGAGGGATGGATCAGGACTTTTGCACAATACTGTAGTAGCCTGAAAATATGACAGTTTTGACTTGCCGGCTCAGGAAAAAAAAAAAGGGGGGCGGGGGGGGACATCAGTGGACATGTGGTGCTTGGTGGGATTCCACATTTGTCTAAATTGTACATTACAGCTGTTTTCTTTAATTGTGCAATCACTAACTTCAATGTTTAATTACTCTTGCACATGTAAAGTGTTCAGCAGCATTCGGCCTAATCTCGACCTCCATAGCTACAGCTGTAATAATCTAATTCTGTATCTGAGACTGTTCAGACTGCTCAGTACTTTCACCTTTACCTGTGCAGGTTTATTCCCAATAACGACATGATTCTGAAAAAGGGACAGGGCTCAAAAGTAGCTTTAATTGTTTTGTTCTTGTATATAAACTCAATTAACTCAACAACTGCACTCTGCTGGAGATTCACAACTGGACTAAAGAGCGGACAATGAGTGGACAGGTTCTTGGTTTTCTCCCTGAATGTTTAGAATAAGATTTAAGGATTTGTGCCAAGGCCTGCGTTTATAGACATTATTACTGAAGCAAAAAAAAGCACATATGAAGAGATAGAGAGTGGATTTGCAACAGACCTGGCCAATATTTACCTAGAATTTAAAAAAAAAGAAGGTTGTATCGTAACGGAGGATGCAAAAATCTAGAGAAAAGTGGTCTGATTGGTCTGATTGTTCTGATTGTTTATTCTATGGTCGTGTTGTTGTGCTGGAGCCATAGATATACTCAGTCATGAAATTTGCCCGGAGTAGCTGGTGACCCTGCAGCTTCTAAGAATGTAAAGCTGTGACTTTGACGATTTTGCTACTTCCCGTATTGTTTGATGTGCTGACAGCTTTTCCGGTCCTGGCAACAAAAGCAGAGACCTCGCATATCAAGCGTACCTTGTGTATCTATGGCTACTGGCTTCTAAGAAAACTTTGTTATGTGTTGAAAATGTGAAAAACGAACTATGTTGTAAAGACTTTTTTTGGTAAGGCAGCCTGTAAAGTAAAAATGGGGTAATATAACCTAGACAATGAAACTAAATGAAACTGTGTACTGCACACTAAAATCAACTGTAAGCAAGTAT